AAAGTTTTCAAGTCGTGTACGTTTAGTATACCCATTTTGCTCCAGTGTTCGTTTGTACTGTCTCGATAATTCATATTACTGAGTACCTGTATATGTCTAAAAAAATCAGCAAAGAGTGAAAAGAGTGAAAAACGACATTACGACGTGGTCCATCTTTAAAACCTTGTTTGCTGACGTTTTTGGCCGACCCGCAGTCCGCAAGTCCAGAGCCGAACAACGCTTGCGGACTCGCGCACAGAATTCTAACGGAATTGTTCACCAGCTACACCGAAGACATTATTGATCTTTGCAACCGTGTGAACACCACCATGCCCAGTGTTGGAGAAGATTCAGCACATCCTCAAATGGATAAATGACGGCGCATTTCAGATGCTCCTGGCTCCAGCTACCGTTGCGGAACTTGTCACTTTGTGTCAAAGTTTCGACGAGTTAAGAAAGCAGCGCGCCCCGTTTCTGCCATTTTCCTCATATGCCGACTCGCTCTCCAGTCTCACTGCCGTTTCTGATCACTCACCAACCCTGCAAGAGATCAAAGACTTTGTGCGTGAAGAAGTAGCTCGGCAACTGTCGTTGATTTCCCTCAGGCAGCAGCCACCGTCTTCTCGTCTGCCCTCACCACTCCGCGACGTTATTGCCGCAGAGGTAGCTCAGGCTGCTCCCGTCGCTGCCCACCAGCAGCCTGTGGCCATGCCTGTTGCCCATGCGCCGGCTATGGAGCCCGTGGCCTCGCCTCTTGCGTATGCCCAGGTGGTACGCAGCAGACCCCGCCAGCAGAAATTTGCCACCCATGTCTTCAGTTGCTGCCCACTCCGCCCCTTTTTCGACACCTTGGGCCACACCATGAGTCAACAATTCCTGGTGCACTCCAGACAATCGACCGATCTGCTACGCCTGCGGTACTCCAGGACACGTGGCGCGATATTGTTGCCGTCGCTTTCAACCACTCCACGACGCTACTCGGACGTTGCCACATGGCTCACAGCCTATGCACCTACCTGCTCCCTATCCCTCACCGCAGTATGGATACACTAACCTTCCCGAGTCTCGGACACCCCAGCCTCTATCTCAGACTCTCTCTCCCCCTCCCCATCTCCCAAGAGGCGATCACTGTCCTCAATGCGTTCCCGACTTGCTTCCTCCAACCGGGAAGACTGAACGCCGCAGTTCTAGAGGCAAGAACTGCACCGTCGTCGAAATGCTCAAGTCCTCGCACTTCAATTGCTAACGTCGTCGCCATATCTCTCGATGGTGTTTCTACCTTTGCCCTCATCAAAACAGGTGCTGCCGTTTCTGTTATAGCCGCCCAGCTCTGCCGCTCCCTACGCAAAGTGGCCACGCCGCTCTCTGGACTATAGCTTCGTACGGCTAGCGCACTACCAGTTCGACCTCTCGGCACCCGTACGGCCTGCATATTTGTCCATCGCTCTATATACGTTGTCGAGTTCATCGTCCCTTCGGTGTGCTCGCATGACGTCATCCTCGGGTGGGACTTCCAGTCAAATCATCATGCCGTCATCGACTACGCACGCGCTGAAGTTCAATTTTCGCACCTGTGTGAGGAACCTTTGCACGAAACCCTTGAGCGGTCGCCAAAACTCATCCTGCGTAAAAACACTGAAATTCCACCAGCCTCTTTTGCCGTTGTCCCTGTTTGCTGCGATGACCATAACGATGCTACGGTAATGTTTACTTCTTCCGACATTTTCATGAGCCACAGAGGCATTTCTTTGCCTTTTGCTACACTTGACGTCACTGCTGGCCGAAGCAATATTTTCGTCCACAACCCACTTTCTGCACCGCTTTCGCTACTTTCTGGCGAATGTCTCAGTCGAGTAGAATACCTTGATTCTTCTTTATCCCTTAACATGCCAGACGAATCGTGCAGTAGCGCCTCGACCGAAATTCATGCCCTTTCCCCAGTGGAATGCTCGTCGAGTGACATATCGAGTTCCATCGGCGACACCTTAAGTGCTCAAGAACGCGTGAGCTTCTTAATCTCCTCCAGCACTTCGCAAATTCATTCGACGTTTCTCAGCCCCAGTTCGGTCATACTTCCGTAGTGCACCACTACATTGACACCGGTTCGCACCAGCCATTGAGTCAAAGACAGTACCGTGTCACTGCTGCAGAATGTCACGTCGTCAACGACCAGGTCGAAAAGATGCTACGCCGTAGCGTTATTCAACCATCGCTCAGTCCTTGGGCATCTCCTGTCGTTCTAGTACGAAAGAAGGATGGATCGATTCGATTTTGCGTCGACTACCGGCGATTAAACAAGGTGACGCGGAAAGACGTCTATCCATTATCGCGCATCGACGACGCCCTTGACAGCCTCCAAGGAGCCAAATTCGTCGCCTCCTCAGACTTACGATCTTGATACTGGCAGGTTCCTAAGGCAGAAGCTGATCGCCAGAAAACTGCATTCATTACACCAGAAGGCCTGTATGAATTTCACGTAATGTCATTTGGGCTTTGTAATGCTCCTGCCACGTTTGAACGACTCATGGACAAAACGCTGCATGGACTGAAGTGGTCTGTGTGTTTATGCTACTTCAACGGCACTTTGGTTTTCTCTCCCGGTTTTCCTACACATCTGCTTCGGCTCCAACTGGTTCTGACGTGTTTAACCAACGCTGGGCCCCAACTGAACCTTAAAAAGCCCTGCTTCGCCGCGCGAGAGCTGTCCATCATAGGGCAAATCGTGTCCAAGCATGGTGTTCTACCCGACCCTGCAAAATTGCGAGCAGTCGCCGAGTTCCCGTAACCTACTACACTGAAAGAATTACTCAGTTTCGTCGGACTATGCTTGTACTTCCAACGCTTCGTCCGAAATTTTGCATTAATCATGTCACAACTGACCAACCTCCTACGCGGTGACGCAGACCTTTCATCCTGGTCTCCTGACTTCGACGTCGCGTTTGCCACGCTCCGTAGTCTGCTAACATCTCCTCCCATTCTTCGGCATTTCAACCCAACAGCTGCAACGAAAGTTCATTCAGCCGCTAGCGGAATTGGTCTTGGCGCTATCCTCGCCCAACGCAAGCCGGGCTACTCTGAATACGTCGTCGCTTATGCGAGTCGCACACTCACTAAAGCTGAGGCCTATTACAGCGTCACTGAAAAGGAGTGCTTAGCGCTAGTGTGGGCGCTTTGCAAGTGCCGTCCTTATTTGTACGGTCGCCCACTTGACCTGGTAGCGGACCACCATGCACTTTGTTGGCTCGCCACATTGAAAGATGCTTCTGGCCGCCTAGCTCGGTGGGCACTGCAAATCCAGGAGTATGACATTCGCGTAATCTATCGCAGCGGACGCAAGCATTCCGGTGCCAACGCCCTGTCCCGTTCGCCTTCACCTCCCGATTCAGCCTGCGGAACCACTGGTACCAACTCCATCGCATCTCTCGACCTCGACTCCTTACCAGTGAACAACACAAGGACCCGTGGATCGCTTCTCTTTTTAACTTCTTTCGGGATCGTCAACCACTGCGTACTACCGATCTCTTCGACGTCAAGCTGCTCATTCCCCATTCGTGATCGGCTGCTACAACCGACGCAACTACGCCCCCGAAGGTCGTAAGTGGCTCTTGGTTGTCCCGCGCAGCTTGCGATCACAAATCTGCGCCTCCTTTCACGACGATCCCCAATGTGGTCATGCCGGAGTTTTCAAAACTTACGAACGCATTCGCCATCGCTTCTACTGGTGCGGAATGTATAATTTCGTTCGAAAATTCGTTATGGGCTGTCCTGACTGTCAACGCCGCAAATCACCGCCTTTCCACTCGTCCGGTGCACTTCAACCGCTTTCGTGCCCTGCCAAACCTTTCGATCGGATCGGAATTGATCTCTATGGCCCTCTACCGACAACATCAGATGAAAATCGGTGAATCATAGTCGCTGTGGACCATTTAACACGCTACGCTGAGACCGCCGCCCTTCCAAGTGCCACTGCGCGGGACGTAGCATCCTTCATCCTTCATCGCTTCATACTACGACATGGTGCACCTCGAGAACTACTAAGCGACCGAGGTCGAGCCTTCCTATCAGAAGTCGTCACGTCTCTGCTTTCTGAATGCCATGTTGTTCATCGCAAGACCACGGCATACCACCCGCAGACTAACGGGCTCACGGAAAGATTTAACCGCACCCTTGGCGATATGCTCGCCATGTATGTGACATCCGATCATACTAACTGGGATCGCATTCTTCCATTCATCACGTTCACATATAACACCGCGGCAAAGTCTACCACTGCATTTTCACCTTTCTTTCTTCTTTATGGACGCGAACCATCCCACACCATCGATACTCTCCTTTCATACCGTCCTGACGCATCCGAATGCCCATCTGTGTCCGAAGCTGCCCGAAATGCGGAAGAGTGCCGTGAACTCGCACGCATCTTTACGTCACAAGAACAACAGCGCCAGAAAGAAAACAACGCCAATTCTTCACAAAGCCTCAGCTATTCTCCGGGATCACTTGTATGGCTGGCTGTTCCTTACCAAACCCCCGGCATTTCCTCAAAACTCTTTCCAAAGTACGAGGGCCCATACCGCGTTTTGGAGCAAACCTCGCCGGTGAATTTTCTCATCGAGCCACTTTCCCCATCTGACGACATGCGCCGGCGTGGACGTGACATCGTCCACGTCGCCCGCCTTAAGCCATATCATAGCCCTCTGCCTCCAGACTCTTAGGTCGCCAGGATGGCTCTTTTTCGGCAAGGGCGAATTGTGAAGAAGAAAGTGCATCGTTGGCAAGCAACATCGCCACTGCTTGGGTACTGGGTACTGGGCTTCGCTCGCTCGGCTCGTGCTGATCATCCCCGGCATCTGCTTGACCGTTGCTCTTGCACGTTTCTTCGTAGGACCACCTTCGCAACAGTCGCCAGTAAACCCTTTTTCAGCATAAACAATACTGAAAAACAAAAAATACAGACGAAAAAAAAGAAATACAGACAGGAACTTGCCATAAAAAGTCAAACAGAAAAAATTATATCGCAGCTATAGCTCTTCTGAAGCGTATTGGGCATGGTTGAGAAGCAATGCAAAACACACTGAAACTGTTCTCAGTGCATGCATAACATGTTGCTGCATTACTGGCCTTTCAAGTGAACTGGTGGCACCCTGACACTGATGAGGATGTAATGCCCCTTTTAGGCATGTCACAAAGCTATTTCACTCATACAAGAACTTCTCAGCACTGAAAATCGGTTTTGACAAATTAACAATTCCTGCAATGACGGTTAAAATATCATCATTGCATGGGAAAAGCTCAGTGCCAAGTTTTCCCGACAGAATTCTGAACACTTTCATACGCTGAATGGCGCGTTCTATATGAACGCGGGCAGCTGCAATGATCTGGTTTTGTTGAGCTTCACGCTGTGTAAGGTGTTTCTTTTTGCGTAAAAATGGAGGGCGAACCATGGTTGCATGGTTTTGAAGGCAAGAGTTCATCGGTTAGAAAGCCCTTGTCAACCATTACACTATCTATAGAAGGCAAAAACTTCTCAAGAATTTTACTTTCCTTTGTAATAAAGGAATCGGATGGACTTCCACCATATGCCTTGCTCAGAAAGCTAATATGGCCTCCAGGTGTTTCACAGACTAAAACCTTAGCTGTATATGTACCCTTGTACCAGCTGTACGTGAGTAGCTGTGACTCCAGATCCTTTGGTCTTTGCAGTGGGATTTTCGTCCAGTTCAAAACTGCTCGCACATTTGGGTATTCCTCAAAATGGACGGTGAGGTTGTCGACAACCGCCTCTTTGCTTGGCCGGAATACTGCGGTTTGCAGTATTTCTGCTAGGGTTGCAATTGTTGCTTTGAATACATCTGCTGCTGTAATGCGATGAATGCCAAAAAGTAGCCCAATTAGTGAAAATGGCACGTTGTGGTGGAGCTTCATCATAGTCACTAGCACTGCATCTTCGTGTCATAGGCAAAAGCTTTTTGGCTGCATAAGCATATGGCTGTCAGTGTACACATCACAAATACTATAAAGTAGCTGGTAGCATGGAAGACCGGTGATTACACTTAGGTCTTTTTGTGTTTTTACATGCGCTATGCTGAGTGGTTGATGTCTCGCAGTATCAAGGGTGTTAACTTGAATTCTAATTTTTATTCTGAAGGCAAGCGCTGCAGCAGGAAACATCTGAAGCACAAGATTGTTAAAACTGTGTTGTGCGAAAAATTGAACATGAGTCAGGTAGCAATAGGACCATCAAACTAACCTTCCAGGCCATCTTCATTGTTAACATCTTGGTGGTCGCTGAAGGCGGATGCGCCCAAGCTCTGCTGAATCTCATATTGAGATGGTTGTGCCTGGACGTCTAGAGTATCTGCAGGGGGCTTGGGGGTGGGATGTACCGTCACCAATGGCACATCTGCTGCAACTAAAAGAAAGATGCGTCCAATTTTTTTTCACTATTCGTGTGAAGCTACATTATAAATGTCCCCTAATAAAAAGGACAATCACACAAGCAAAAGTAGCACACTTTAAGTTGTGTTGTTTACTTCATCTACCTTAGGCTGCTGTCACATTTCACAAACATTTACAATGTCACACAGACCTTTCTGTCTTATGCGGTCACTACTTACTGCAAGCACTGCAACAGTGTGCTAATGAATGCATCTTTTATGTCATTAATTACTTGCAGCCGCTTTAACTTTTCACGCAATAGTAACTGCCACATGGGAGCTCTTGCATGTTTGAGAGTTCACGTTAAAAATATACAAACTTGTTTACAAAATTGTATGTGATACACTTCAGCTTCAAAACACCGCAGAAAACTAAGCTGAATTTATTATGACTTATTTCCTATGATATGTGTTAAATTACAAGTTGTTACTTTGAATACTCACGAACATTGCCCTCCACAACACTTTTGCAATCTGCTTCCACTTAATGTAATGTGCATTATATCTCGACAAACTGAACGAGCAGCACATACAACAGGACTATGAGAAGACAACACTGTAGTCCTGCTGTCTGCACTGTTTTTTGAGTATCTCAATATTCAGCCAACTAACCCACTTGCTCTTGCATATTATCACTCAAGTCAAGCACTCAGTGATAATACGCTGTGCAGGATACTGCTGTTTAAAGCCATTACTATGGTTTTATGCCTACAGTAAAGCTATTATGCAGTAATGAACTCTTGCAAGGCAATGTGTACATCGGCACTGCGCATTAAAATGTATGTGAATAATCCAAGAAGATATAAATTCATGACCATGTATGTTAATAAAAGTTTTCTTCAGATCTGCAAGCTTTGAAGTCTGAGGAGCATTGTTTCATCTTGCTACTAAGTGCATTTGGCAATAAATAAAGTACGTCATTTTTGTTTGTTCAAACTTGTCATTTATGCTTTCTGCAAACGGTAATACGTTTATGTGGGACCAAGTATGCTAAAACAAGAGGCACACGCTGCTCCTACCTCAGCTCAGTCAAATATATGCACCTCAAACGTCCTGTCAAGAATGCGGTTTATACAAACTGAAAATCAAAACTCGTTTATTAGCATCACCAAGCAGGACTATAAAAACTTTGATATTGAGGGTATATGGTGATGTTGAATTGTTTCATAGAAACAGTGAACAACTTACAAAAGGCTAGAATAACAGAGGGCTGAGCTAGTTGGTTAGTATTCATGCTAAAGAGACAGGGCATGCAAACCCGTACACAAGAGAGAAGTCAAGACACCATAAACGCCCTTGTTGTCTGTGATGTCTTATGGTAAGGCATTTTTGGGGTCTTTGCCTTCTCTCTTGTGTCCGTGTTTGCACACCCTGTCTCCTTAACATAAAAGCTTACAGAAGTAACCACAGTCTGTAGCAAATCTTTGTCTCAGAATTAATTGTGGTTGATAAGAATAAATTTTACTGCATTCTTGCCTTGTTAACAGCATTTTAGTCACCTGAAAAGATCTGCATATGCCACACATAAGTAAATTTCAGACCTAGGAAGTGAAAACTGCCCTATGCTGTACGATGCAGGATGCTGACAAATGCTAACCCGTCTACACAAGTGACTCAAAGCCATGCTGAGCCTTACAAATGCCCACACCTTTATTCGACTTGGCACGTAGCACCCTAAACACTATGTATTGAAAAATATAACGATTAATTTTAATATGATCACACTTGTGCATCTTCCTGGAGCAGTCAATATTCTTTTGTAAACACTGTTACTGAAGTACACACGATGCAATAATTAGAAAAAAGGCTGAAATAAACACAAATCTTCGCACTTAAGCTTGACTACTAATTCACGAGCTTTAATGCAGTTTCTTATAATAAATTGCTTTTTAACAAATAAAACCGAAAATACTTAAGTATTAACTCATTGTTGGCAGCGCATCAGTAAGGATACTCGAACAGAACCTCGGAAATAACTCCAAGTACTCATTCGAAGCATCGAAGCGACGTGCACACCCTACGAGCATAAGTACACTGTTTGACAAGCGTGGCACCACGTAGCTGACTAATTGAAAAATACAAAAATACTAACCACTCTGTTGCTTCCGTATTTGGTGACGCTCAGTACACGGACGATCCAACGGGCGCACCGGTAAGTTCTTCGACGGCACAGCTCCGGCTTCAAGGCAGCGCTTTTTCTACGCTGCGCGGAAGAAACACGGTTATGCTAGTGGTTTACGGCCAACGAACAGTGCACAGCGATTGAAACGCGATACTTCTTGCGCCACCGGTAAGCACTGGGGACTCCCAGCTAGCATTTCTGAATCGCACGAAAGTGAGAGTCCTTCCGATGCATTGTGCCTGCATTCCGTCCCTCGGCGATCACCTACTGCTCACCAGTGGCGTAAATAGAAGTAGCCGCCATGCGGTCCAAGCCAATGTTACTAGAATAGCTTCAGTTGTAAAACTCGGCGGAGCCGCGCGGAACCGCCGCTTGTCCGTGCGCCTCGTGGCGCTGCAGTCGCATCGAGTTTCACCTCTCCCCTGCCGCCGGCCGCGTCGACGGGCGGCACCAGCGCCAGACCAGCGCAGCGTTCGCTCGCTCGCATGTGGTTTTCCGTTACTGCAGCCTTCCTTGCACACCAGCCGACGTGCTGTGTTCCCGACATCCATGCCGGCGTGCTACGTTCCTGGCTGCACGAGCGGCTACCGGAACGATACGAATAAGTCAGAACGCCACTTCCAGTGCTCAAGTTCCAGTGCTCAACTAAAGGCAGCAAGAAAGCGGGCAAAGCTGCTGTAGGCTTCCACCCTGGGGGCACTTTTCTTTGCCAGAAATTATATTGTACATAGCTTGTGTGAAGGAAATTTCATTGTTTGTCTGTTTTTGCTTAGGTGTTATAGCTATGTCCACATTATATATATATATATAATTAACTAGATGTGTCTAAGTACGTCACATTTTCAGAGTCACGCCCTACTCGTCATAAGCACAAATACAGTCTGCAAGAATATTCCTCAGACAGTGACGTCTTTGGAAAATCGTTTTTCCCACTAACAATACACGAATGGAATAAACTGAATGCAAATGCTACTAATGCCGACACACTATCCACATTCACCGCAGTGTTAGAAACCATGCGTAATCTACAGTAGTGCTTCAATGCTTCACATACCTTTTGCTATTTTCATCTTTTCTTTTTCTTTTTTGCACGGCGCACTGTAGCAGGCCAGAAGGTACTGGGTGAGGCTTATGTTTTCGTATCCGTTTTTTTTTTAATCAATCTATCGCTCAAATACCTGGCTTGGTATGCGCAAGTCAGCAGTTTCCTGAGTTTCCTGCTAGAAAACTGCACATATTGTTGATTCGGTCACCGTCATTTGTCCTGCTCTCTGATATCATGTGAACCGAAAAATGTGGTGCGTTTCAAATTGATGTTTCTCGTTTCATTTTCTTTTTTTTTTCCTCGCGCAAATAAAATGTGGAATGGTTTGCCGGATGCGCTTGCTGGTGATGATGGTTGTGCCGATAATAAAGATGCGCTACATATCTACATATTATAACATTGTATAACACAATTTGGTGCGATTATCTTCCTGTTTTTAATTATGCGGATAATTCATTATTCCTTGTATCTTTTTTTTCTAACCAATAATGTAAGGAATCCCGTATGTCAGTTGGAATGTTATTGTTTGTTCTTCATGAATGTATACTACCTGCAATGTGCCCTCTGTAGTGACTCCAACATTGGAGTCGACAGTATTGCAAATAAATAAATAAATAAATATATATGTGAAATTCTGGGATTGTAACCTGTAGTGTTTGTCAGTTGTGCATTGCTTCCTATCTCTCTCTCCTCTTTCTGTTTATTTATTTTTTTCCCTTGGCAGTAAGTGTTCCTGCTCCGCTGCAGCCTGTCATCTATTTTAGGGCCAGTCAAGTTGCGTACCCACAACCTTTTCCTCTGAATATCTCCCATAGAATAGCGCTTGTTTTTTGTTTTTTTCATCTCATTTCAAAACGTGAGTTGTTGATTCTTAACGGTAGGGCTGTTCGTTTTCTGAATCGTAAAGCTAGTTGACAATTGACCCAAATAAGATTAAATCAAAGGTGTTATCACTAGCTAGTTGACAACTGACCCCAATCACATTAAGTCGCATTGTAACATACAGAGGACAAAAAACTCGCGAACCTTTCCATTCACGTGGATGACCACGAAAGCTTTTTAACACACGACATGGGATTGATACGGAGTATAGGAGAAAGGTAAGAACAATATTTCGTCGTGATCGTGGATGGCGATAATTTCTAATATAGAAATGCGTGTGCGCACACACTTTTATTTCAACAACTTTGAAAATAGTGGTTACTAACTGTAATCACCTCAAAGTGCACATCCAAGGGTCAGAAGGTTTAAAATCTAAGTCACATTGTAATATTGACGGTGGTGCATATCCTGTTGATTAGCCGTATACGCTCGGGTTCTAAATCACGCTTTTAACGGCGTGCGGCTGTGGTGGTGACCACGTGTTACTAGCAAACACATCGGACGTTCCTTTTCCAACGCATCACGCGCTTCAGAGACAGTGGGAGCCCTCGTCCCCGGACAGTGAAGTACATGGAACCGTAGCCATATAATCTCCGCTTTAAAAATCGGGACGGAGATATTTTCCCATTACTTCTCAGGAGTGAATTAGCCACCATTTGATAGCGGCGGAAACAGGCGCACGGCCGCACATCTTTCACGGGCACGCGATACCAGCCTGTAAAGAATGAAGTGTGAATTGGCCAGAGTGTAAACACTTTTCGGGCGCCTCTGGCACTTTCACAAACTTTATGCAGGCATCATCGAATTGCCTTTAAAAGTACCCGTGTATCTAACTGCGACA